TAGTGAGTATCAATTTTATAAAATCTGCAGTATGCATGGCAGGAATTTCTCCAGTACGTATGAGAAATGTACAAAATAACAAAGCAAAAAACAATGAACAGCTTTCCCGTCCTTTACACAGCTTAACTGCGAGGAAGGTTGGGGATTTCGGAATTTCCTAGTGTAACAGCTTTCCTTGTGGAACCATTATTCATGCAGCAAAATAATTTGAGCCGCAAAAATAACGTCTCTATTCCAACTCTGCATGCACTCTGCACACAGCATTATATTTTCCAACTAGTGCAATACTTTACGAGGGATTTCGTATTGTTGTTGTTGAACGAATTCTATTCGACATGGACCACGCAACATAGAATACACAGACAGAGCTTGAACTGACAGTCGACGTATTTATTTTAATACCCAATCCCAGGCTGCAGAAAAGCTGCATCCTATGTAGCTCGTGAAAAGCAATGTTTAAATTCTACTGTGCCAAGTGAAAGTTGAAGGTCGAATTATGCTCGTGCACAATTCTCCCTTCTATTCAGACGTGTGTTTGGATTTTGAGAGATTCCTACAGTTTAACACTATGGAATATAAGCATGTGACAGTTGATTACGTCATTTTGTTTGAACATGTCAGCCAACTGTTTAAAGTGATTTTATTCTCGATGTCCATCATTGTTATGGCCACCCGGGTTCTAAAATTACAATGTGAGTGAGTCGCTTTCGCTCAACCCATCCAGCGTTTTACTCGGATTTAGGAATCTTTAGTGGAGTATAAAAATTTGTGGCAATGATCAAAAATTTAAGGACATTTCTTGTATTGACTAAACTGCCACAAGATACTTGAGTTGTAAAATTAAAGGTGGGTGAAATGGAGAAAGTCTTAATCCACATTTTTGTAAAAATGGGGATAAAATTAATGAAATTATTTTTATTACAATGTCAGGAAAAATATTCGTTTAAATCACTCATTTTACTGGGAAAAGCTTACTCGAGTTCACCGACATGTAACTTTACGTTTCCTTCACACATACAAAATTCAATTCAATACGTCTCATGGTAAAATTGTCAAAAATATTAATAATCGACAATGCTCACCGCTAAAATGTCGTGCTCAGCAGTACTTTTTTGCTAATACTGGCACATTAAGAAGTCGTCAAGTTCATTCATTAGCCAAACCTGGGAAAGTACGAAAGAGTCATGTGAAAACTATAAAGGAAATGCGATAATAGCTCTTAAGCGGGTGTAGATTTTTCCTTAAATACTGAATTTATGGAATTTCCATACCAAAAAGTAAAAACTATACGCATGCACACATGTGGAGCACTCAAGCTGTTCCAGCGAGAGTCAAAGTAAGAAATAAAAGGCACACTAATGACATGCTTTCCACTTGGCAATCAAATACAGTACGTATCTTGTTACTTCGGGAGTTTGATTCTGATCATTTCACATCACTCACGCCCAATACAACTTCACCCAAGCCATTTCGACATGTGCTACAGAGTAGAATAATACACTCATGTTATTTCTTAATAAAACTAATGCAAAGAATGGAATGAGCTTTGCGTCGCGTTCGCCCTCATGCATCCATCGCAATACATATAAATGCACACACGTCGGATTTCTCCCAAAGAAAAACTTTACTCCGAGTAGGACAAGGAGGGAAGAAAGGACGCGGGGAAAGGTAGGCAGCCTAACGGTGAGGATTTAAGTCTGCTGGATTAAAAAAGCAGTACACGGGAGACATATTCAATCCGCATGTATGTGCTGCTCCCACTCACATTATGCTAAGATCGAAGAGAAAGATAATCAACCGCCGCTGCTGCTGCTGTTCAAAGCGCCATTATCATGATGACTTTTTACCAAAACGGATTTCACACCCTTGGCATTTCCCCTGCTTTGGTTCTACTTCATGTCTGACACTCTCAAACTTGAGACAGAGTTCATGTTGAAATTTTGCAATTTGTGAAATGTAATGTTTACTGTGTGACCTTCACTCGCCACAGGAAAACTTTGGATTGAACCCTAGTGCGAGAGGTTCAAAGAAAGCGTGTGTTTATCACTATAATAAACTATTATGTAGCTATTGTGATATCCCTTATTAACAAGAACACTGTCACATAAATCAGCATCACGACTGTCGCGAGTGCCATATTACTATTGTGTACGTGTACTTATATCACTTTTGTAATTATGGTAATATCACGTGATGCAGAAACAAGGAGTAAAGAAATCTCAAAGTTACAAAGCATGCAACCAGCCAAAAAAACCTTTGAAGGGAAAACGACCAAATGGTTTACTGTAATACATAGTGCTCCAAACTTTCATTGGGCTTCAAACTGTACACTAATTATAACTGTCACCAGTGAAATATTGAAGAAATGAGCCGTATTCATCCCACCTGCACTTTGTCTAATGAGTGCCCTATTAATTAAGATGAAAGGTGGTTGTTATGTATGTACGTACCAAAGAGGAAAGGTACCTGGTGCATGGTACATACATACGTACATATGTTCGCATGTACGTACATGTGGATGGGCAAGAAGTGAAGTACAAAGAACCTTTTTCGATTTTATGATGCAGACTTTGTTTTATAATATTAATATCATGCACTGCCGTTTCCCTCTCCTTATTCTTCCTTCCTCGTCAGTGCCTTTTTATTTTAATTGAAGGGGACGACCACAACTGACACTCGTGTGAAGAATGATGCAAAATGCAGCCTTTCCTCAAAAGCAAAATGGATATCCACGAAATCCGTAGAATGGGCCGGCCAGAGTTCGAAATGTTGCATGTCGGCTTATGTATTGGCCTTCTTGTGTTCTTCTGAAGTAAGGAATGGAAAGTGTGAACTTCCGGCGAATGAAGGCTTTCCCCATAGAATCGTGAGGGTCGGCATAAGATATTCAGATCAGAATTTGGCACTTAACTAGGAACTGCGGGTGTAAATCAAAATAGCGAGAGAGTAAACTTGAAGTGTGGTTAAGCAAAAACAGGCATGAATGAAAGCTTCAAGCAGAGAGATCAAGTAGTTGACCAAGAGGATTAAGCAAATAATACAGCCAACAAACATTCCTATTGAAATCAGGTTGAGGTATATGTACATAAATATAGCGGAGTAAGGCTCACGTTTATGTATTGTAAATTCACTCCAACAAAATTACAAGGGCTGAGTTAAGAACACTTGACTTGAGGCTTTTACTTTGATTTCGGGTCTTGTTGAAACCGTCGACAAGCTCCTCTCTTGCCAGTCTTTGAATTTGATGGTGATGAACCTCAAATCGTCAACAATTTCTTGCATGATAGGATTCTCTATTTATGAGGGACGTAGACAGTTATTAAGCTCAATAGCATGGCAGCAACAAAGCAAGATAATGCAACTTTGAACTTTATTAGAAAGTATCTATTTTGCTTTAAAGTTAGCTAAAAAATGTGTTCACGCAGATAATAATACGTATAAATATGTACAAATCCATAAAATCAAGGTGAAAAACAATATCCCAGACATTTCGCAGTTTTTTTACTGAAACCTTTACAACCAATTTCGGTGGTGAGCAGATACTGTTGGTGAGCAATGCACCTAAGCTGTAGCTACATATGCACATAAAGATCGTATTATTGTATCAAGGTTTTCTAAGAAAAAAATTAAAGTCAGTCTGCACTTATTACTTATTATGTTTGTTCTTTGGAAGACAGAATTGCTATTTTCATAAAAGTTTTGATATTTCTAGGTCTACTACGCATATTTCCCTGGCGCGTCAGCCGACCATTGTTCATGTAGAAGCACTCGCAAGTTGTACGTACCCTTTATGCGATGTGCAACTTTACTTGAAACGAATGATATGTGCATAAAATGTATAAAGGAGGGAGTCCTAATTCGAGAGTGAACAATGTTAGTTGTAGTGGCAGATTTAGCTCAGTGAGAAATGTGATGTGGTCGTTGGGGCTGGACAGAAGAGATATGAAAGCGAGTAAAAGAACTGGTGGTGGTGATGAAAATATCCGAATTCGCGAGGGACAGAAACGAGAGGATTTTGCCAAAATCCCGTCAAAAGATCTTCCTTCATCTATATGCCCAGCCGTCCCATTGCAGAACTTTTGGTTGTGCAACTGAATTGAATTGAGCACAATGCAGAAGAACTTCTCGTTGATACAAAGTCCTTGTGTTGTTGTTTGTTTTCTCGAGTTTCATATTGTATCAAATCAAAGGGCAGTGAAGAACAAGAAGAAATTCTCTACTTGAGTGATTCTAGTTCAGTAGTTTGGTGACGGGAGTAGTTGGACCTCTTTTTTTGCCGAGAGGATTTACTCGTTTAAATAAATATATGAATGGAATTCGGCTTTTGTTGATTCAACTAGCAAACAATACGGATTTTCCTTGATCTGTCCCCGTTATTCTTTCAATTCATCTTTTGTGTACAGTAAATCTCGAATAAAAATGCTGCACACATACGCACACAATTGCAAAGGTTGTGACCCGGTCAAATCAGGGAAGGTGCATGAAATAAATTCTATAAATTCTGGAGCTAACAAAAAAAATCTCCAAGACACATACCTACATATGCGTACGTATGTTCAATTATTATTTGGTTCATTTTATTCTCAATAGTTCATATGTACGTTAAATAGTTGTGTAATATCTGAGATAACATACATATGCATGGATTCATATAGTGAGAATGTCGCGTCCTTAACATTATGCATACATATGCATGTTTACTTGCCCGAGCAGATATATGAGCAGATATGATTCCGTTTCAAGTCCATAAAATAATCGATTACATGTACCAATCAATGATTACCAGGAAAGCATAATTGTGCATTAACCATTACAAATCGATATGAATTTTAATTGTTTCTGATATGTATGCCTTAACCTTACCTGCAGAATGATGATTTAATTCTCTGCCTGGCTTATCTATGGTGGCATAATGGCATTTAATTATGTATTTCATTGATTCTGCGAATAAACACATGTCCATCGAGATTGGAATTTGACGTATACTGATGTAGAGATAAAATATATGTGCATTCAGAAGTGGATTTTTGTCACAGCCTTCTTTGCTCAACCACCATTCTCAACTTGCACAAAGTTTCTCATTTTAACTTTACTAATTTCCATCATGAAGCTTCAAGTTATCCTCGTCGTCGTGTTTGCTTTAGTTTCATACTCAAACGGTAAGTTAAATTTATTCTGCAGATATTTTGGATTGATTCTAATTGGTTATTATTTATTTTCTAGCTCATAAATGTTATCAATGCTTGTACTACGAAAATACGACTCTTACACAGCCTGAATGTGATGCTGAGCAAGTTCCCGAAACGCTCCTGATCGATTGCGCTTGTATACAAAATATTTGTTATCGAACCATGTATATGCAATTTTTGGGCTAACGGATATTATTTTTCCTGTGCACAGTGGACGGATATGATGGAGACGAATGGCAATGCGTGAAGAAGACGGGGGCGACCATTAATGAGGATGATAAAGAAGCGAAATTCGTGAGTCGTTTCTGTTCTGCAGGAAAAACATTTGCCAGCGAGTGTAAAACGAGTGACGCACTTGGGTCAGATTTTGGCACGGTCGAAGGTGAATTTTACTGCAACTCTAAAATGATAAATTATGGAAATTAAGAAATTAAATTATTTATGAAGGTGGGCTTCTGTGCTATTGCAACGAAGACGGGTGCAACGCAGCGCCACATCTCCACCAGATCGGAACATTAGTCCTCGCCGCGTCTCTAATTGCCATAACTCTCGCTTATTTTAACTGAAAGTGGCATAGCTTTGCAATTTGCACAAGCAATAATACTTTTATTTTTAAATGATGGGAATAATGCAGAAGGATTATTTTATTGGGAGCATTTGAGTTTTGTAAAAAATAATAAAGTGTTAACTTAATGCGTGTATTCTGTATTTTTAATTTAATTAACGTTAAATAACAATTTAACCATGCTATACATTCATCCATGCGATGTTACTTTTACTCGCAGGTGTCAAATATTTGGGAAAAAATGAACAATTGGGGCACAACCAACGTCCCAAGAGTTAGACACGAAGAAAGATATTGATTTATCTAAAATTAGAATCTAAAATTACATCAAAAGAGTATTACAATTCATGACATGTGATGCTATTAGCTCGTTATCTGCGTTCAGCAAGAATTTCAAATCCAAATGTGTCACATTTATTCATATGCATTACGCTGTGAGGAGGACGCGACAGTTTGCCGGTTGTTTGAAAGTAGTATAACGGAATAATAACATGACGGCAAACGATGATGGCAAAACTGGAAAGTTGACTTCTTTCTCGTTTTACTTTCTCTCTGTTTTCGGTGCTGATGTTGCCATATTAGCATTGGACAGTGCAGGCCTGAAGCGAGCTAGCTGCACACAGATTTAAAGGCTTCATAGTTAGTCGTACACGTTACTATGGACTATGCACCTACGTATGTACAATACGCCTTAGTTTGCTCAGTTTTGTCACAACGAGACAGAAGGAGCCTGTCGGCGAAATGATTTATGTGTTGTCTTCCTCTGAAAATAGTAATCCGAGAGCCATAATTCATGGACAAATGAAAAGGGACATGTGTTGTTTTTGAAGTTATACGTACATACATACATCAACAGAAACCATGTCCTCGCTGACTCGTTTCAATCTGTTTGGATTCCTGGTCTGCAACATTTCAAGAAAATTCTCGTAATGTGAATTGCATATACATACGTTTCGTACCATTGAGTAGCAAAAATAAAACATGCATTTTTCTAGAAATATGAAAAAAGAGATTTAAGTCGTATCACTTTTTATGAGCTATTGACAGTTTAGCAAACATATTGATCCCAACAAGCTATGTCAAGCTGAAGGGACCCGTAATGTTTGTATTCATTGCACAAAATATGCAAATATGAGCTCATATTGTAGAAAAAGTGAAAGCTGTATTGATCCTGGTTATTTTGTCACCTGACTCCTAGTGCATAATACTTCTCAAGCAGTCTTTATGTATACACGGAATTTACAAAAAGCATCCATACCATGTTACTAATTTATACTTAATTTATCTTTAATTTGCCAATTTACAAAGTAAACAACGCCTATGTAGATACTTGACATGATTATGTAATCGTGGTCCCCTAGTCATAACAGGGTCGTTCAGACCCTATGTTCAGACCGAACTTAAGTAATTGTATGACATTTGATAAGAAATTCAATACTAATGCTGAATTAATATGAATTGAGTACACATGTATGCACAATGGCTTTGATCTTCAATGGTGATTTCAACAATAGCAGCATTTCAACCACAAAATCTTTTTATACGAAACATGCAGTGTGTACTGGAAGATGTGGGTACTGGGAGCCTACTTAATAATGAAGTACTCACATTATATTCGTTCCGTTCACTTTATTTGGACTACCTGACTCCCATTCTAATCTTAATTGGAATATTATACGTACATACGTAGTCGCAAATATTAGTTGGTACATATTGTAAGCGAGGAAGGTAAAGAAAACGGGAGTGTTTACACATCCAGGGAGGATCCTCTGTCGCATGCACGGACAATATAGCCACTTGAAGGGTGAAATGATAAGACAGATAAAAATTTGTATCACTCCGTGCAATAACTTTGTTAACTTTTGCAACAGAGAGCAGGCGGGTAAGTGGGCAAAGTAAGTGGTGTGGCGACGGATTTTCTCTTCAAGCAGGCTCCTCTTCCACTACGACGACGACGACGACGACGGCATCGAGTTGAGCAACAAAACTTTCCTTTTCATTTAATCTTCACTATCTGCAAAAGGAAGATGACAGTCGGAGTTTCCTGAGCTTGGTTGCTTTTACTTTCGTTTGTCGGCTTAAGTTTGAGTTTTTAGGTTTTTACTTTTATTTAACACAACAAAGAATTTCCAGGATTTCAACTTATGAAGGAGTTTAGTTCGATTTAAGTAAAGAACGACTTCCGCTATAACCAACAGACCCACAGTTCCCACAGGATCGCAGGTCTCACCGGCTTTGCAGTTTCAGCCTCGTCTGAATCCAGCCAGAGGAGGATGATAATCTGATTTCTCATTTTGAAGCTTTTTATTTTTGGAAAGAAAGAACCTCTTTTAATTATTTTTCAAGTTTTCTGACAGCAGCGAGCTTGCTGGCTGACTGGTCCGAATTCGCATCAGTTCCATATAGCAGGCTGGACTTGATGCAAGTTTCATGAAGTTTCTTTCCTCCCTTCCCCGAAATGCTTGTACAAAAGCGTATGTCAGTCGAGTATTTTGATTGTGGTGAGATTTCAAATTATTTATAACAGTCTCTGAACCAGCATTGCTTATCTTTTTGTTTTCCACGGTAGTGCATGTAGCCAGAGCCCTTCAGTGTTCATAATCATACATATATGTAGTTTTATAAGTGAATTTGCTCCAAAATAATCAACGAGACAAAATTTATAGTTTCTTTACACAAATGTTTATATTTAGTATGATTTGAGACCTGCAACAATATTGGAGCTTCGGTAAGATTGTGTATGATCAATAAGTGAAAAATATGTAAAAATAAGGATCCGTGCACAATATAAAAATATAAGAAACGAATAAACCTTTAAATAAAAAGTACTCTTTTTTAAAACCAACCAAAGTAAGACCCGTCAATAAAACTCGTAAAAAAGTTTAAAATGCCGACAGCGAATTTCCAATCTTCGATAAGAAACTGCCCTTACTGCACACACGGGAAGATTACAATGCAAGGCTTCTCCTCGATTGCTCCTAAATCATGGACTGGATCTAATTGCAGACATGATTTTTTCATATGCTAGTGCTTTTTCAGCAATTTACCTTAAACTCAAAGTAGTGGTTAACCATAATCCACTGTCTGAATGTATAATAATAAGCAACATAGGCGTTGTTGACTCTCCTCGTGATTGGTCATGCATGCACATTACATAGCGTACTAAGAACCAAGACAAAATCGCCTACAGAAATAAGAAATGCGTAATAACGAGGCGATGTGTGGATGCGATATGAAATGATGCAGTGAACATTTTCTCCTTCCATTGTTCCTAGAAAGCAAATCAAATTTGGCCCTATTTGGCATGGAGGTAGCAGAGTTGAGAGACCACTGAGATACGTCCAAGTGAAGAAGCTTATGGTTCCTTGTAAAATAAAATATAATAACAAAACCTCTAATCTTTGTGAAGAGCTTCTTCTTGGCGAGAGTTGAATTTCGATGCTGCTACCAATGCCTCCGAGCACAAGTTTAAGTTTCATTTATTACCTCGACAGAAATTCGAATCGTCGAGTCGTGCATTCAAATTTTTTCGATCACAAAATACCGAAGCTCACCTCACCTCCTTAACTCTGTAACCAGCAATATGCGATGCATGTATATGTGGCATGGCTGCATGTATGTATGGGTTCTTGGGTGGAGGTTAAGTAAAATGCGCTGGAAGCTGATCCATAAATTACCATCCGAGACCAATCATCGTCTCATGAGAACTACTGCTCTTTGATTAGAGATTAAACTGGAATTACGTACCGTATGGATATGAAGCAAGCTACATATTCATTCTCCGTCGGTATCTCGCTACTGAAATGATTATTATACATGAAAAATATTTGAAATGTTCAAATATTTTTTACTGAAAAAAACACGACAAACTTCTGTTTCAGAAGTTAATTTGCCTTGCTACCAAGCGTCACGACTTGACTTTTAATTCCAGACTTTTTTCAAACGGTGTCTTGCTAAGTTGTAAATTAGGTGTGTCTTTTAAATCTACTCATTTTCCACATTCCTTGTGTATTTTGTCCGATAAAGATAGGAACCAGCCACGAATGAAATCAACAAGCAACTGAGAGCCAAGTGCATAGAAAAATTAAGGAACGCCACAATACAGCTTTGCTTGAAATTTTTTAGGAGGAGCCAGGAAATGATCGTGTACACAACCGTCACCACCATTTAAGTATCATTTGTACAGAGTATCCTTGTACTTTTGTATGTTAGAGTTTCCTCGTGAACATTATTTTGTCCGCGTAAAGGCTTTGGTCTCAATGCCGCTATAGTTGTGCTGTCTCCATCCCAGTTGTTTACTGTTGAACGTTTCAGCAAATGATCCAGAAAATGGACCTGATCTCGCTAATCTCTAGACAGGGTTGGAACTGATGGGAGACATTACTCTTTCCTCGATCAGTCAAGCACAGATAGTTGTTTCACGAGAAGTGTATTTCTTCGACTTTTGTTCGACCAGAGTTCCTGAGTTTGAGTGCAACAACAATTTCTTATTTCTAATAGTGCCCCGGGTTGTGCACCGAGAAAAGAGAAAGCAGAGCAACATAAATATATATACAGAAAGAAACACATTATTTATTACACGACGGGAATAGTTCACCCTTTCAAACTTCCGGTCGTCTAATAATTGCAACTATTATACAAATTATTTAAGCCAAATGCATACATTGTGTTGCTGTTTGGTCCACACAAAATAACTTTAAATCAGTACATGCAGTTTAAGAACAAGCGTCAGCCGGATAAACCGACCTACAGCCAGGGGTTGTATGTATCATTACATAGTTGTTTTTGGCTTGAAAAACTAAAGTAAGTGGACGCCACAGGGAAATGAATTGCAAGTACATACGAACTTTTAGATACACATACACATATAAATATGTAGTACCTTGTTTGTGTATAAATATGTATTTATGTACGTACTATATAGCACGGCAATCCCTTGTGGCCCCCTTCAACAGTGCGTACTCTATTGGCTACTTTCACAGCATGGCATCACTATGTATTGTATTATATTATGGTTGCCTTATCTTTGACTTACGAGAAAGGATTAAGCAAACACCAAGACACAATGATGGATTATACTCTAAAGGTGATAAATCGTTATTCAATAAAGAATCCGTGATAGCATTTCATTTTC